ATTTATTATAAAAGTTTTAGCTCTATGAATGAATCATAAAAGTTCAAAGTATTAAGCAAGTTTCTTAAATCAAAAAGATTAGTTGTCTTTTATTTCTAATGATAAAAAATTGGTTAAAAAAGGATGAATAAATATAAAATGTTTGAATAGTATTATATATTTTATTATATAATATTTTGAAAAAGTGTTTTTAACCTAAAACATAAATAGATAGATAGATAGATAGATTTTATTATTGATTTCATATTTATAAATATCATTCATATTTTTGTAAGTAAATAAATTATTTATAAAAAATGAAAAAATTAAATTTACTTAAATAAATTAAATCCTCATAAGCAAACCCTCTGGTTTCTCCAAAAATGATCAAATAATTTGAAACTTTTAGTGTTATATTACATTTTATTAAATTATATAAATGCCAAACTTTTTAGTTATATTTTAATCTTAAATATTATCCATCAATCATATTTCTATCCTTTTTTTATTTATCATGATTAATTAGATGCCATGATTTAAATAATACTTCAGGGAGAAATCAAGTTTTACTTTTTATTTTAACTTTAGTCGTCATTTTTTTCATTTTATATTTTTTAAAATCATAAAATAATTTTTTTTTAAACTATATATGTATCATTTATATTATTAGAGCTATATATTTTAATATTAATATCTTTATCATTTTTAATATTCAATTAAATATCTTTTTAAAATCATTGAATAATTATTTTTCATAATTTTTATTATTTGTTTTACTTCTGTAAATTCATTATATTTCTTCAATAAACATTAATTAATTATAAAAGTGTTAACCATTTTGTGAATAAAATATAAAAGATGTTGTACTTCCAGAAATGATAAATTAATAATTAAATAATATTCAAATTCATATCAAATATCAAATAATTATTGTTTTATATTAGCCTTAAATATTTTTTAAAGGGTGGTGGTGAGAATTTTGCAACTGATAATATATTTATTAATTTAAAAGCAATAATCTAATGATAAAAAAATCTAATAATTTTCATAGTTTCATACTTTTTTTAGTATTTATTCGATTTTTTATTTGCTTTTAAATAGACTTTATAGTATTTTAATTTTATCATAGCTAAATATAAGTAATCTTTGTAGTATTTCAATATTAATTTTATAAGATCTCTTCCTTTAATTTTAACATTTATTTCTTGAAAATGAAGAGTTAATTTTATTCTTTTAATAAATTATCTGAGAGTTTTATATTCAAATATTTATTAATAAAATGTATGAGTTTACAATTTGAGTATTAATGAATTAGTAAATTATAAAATTAAATAAAATTTATAATTTGATATTTTTATCAAAATTTGCTAATTTCGATCAAAAAATTTAAGAATAAAAATATATTTTCTGGCTTTAAAAATATTTTATTAAATTCTATTATAAAAAAGCAAAAGGTATCAAATTAAATTTATTTTAATTAATAAATTCGTTTGTGAATAATAAATAAAGATAAAGAATTATTAAAAACTTAATAAATTTGCTTTTTAAATATAATATGAGTTAATATTTGATAATTTATAAGCAAGCTTAAAAGTAAATCATTTAAAAGAATTTATTTTACTTTTTAGCTTAAGAAAAGAATTAAAAAATTAGAAATCATTTTAAATGGAAAAGTTTTATTTTTGTTATGAGGCTTAATTTAATATTTATGTTTGTTTGTTTAATACTGATTGATTAACTGAGATAAATAAATAAATAAATAGTCTTTAAAGCAATTGATTGATTGTTATTAAAATTTAAATAATTAATGATAAATTGAAATATCGTAATATTCCATAAATTAACTTTTATTTTATCTAAATATTTTTATTTTTACAACAAAAATTATTTCTTAATCAAAAATTATTTCATTTTACATTTTTCTACTTTTTCATACAACATCATTATCTTTTTTAGAAGAAAATTCTTTTTCTTCGTAAGAAAAATAGCTCATTTTGATCATAAGCTTATTTAAGCATATTTAAAATGCTGGGAAATACTTTAAAACATTATTTATACCTTTATAATTTAAATATTTTAGCTATTCGATCAAGTTTTTTACATAAAATTGTTTTTTTTGGATTGGAAATGTTATCATTTTTTGTCTAAAAAATAAATATTTATTTAAAAAAATAATTAGCAAATGAGAAAATATGCGCTTATTAAGCATAAATAAGAATTCATAGCGGTTGTCATTTTAGCTGAATAAAAATTAAAAATAATTTATCTCAAAATATTTTAGAAAAACTAGGATTGTGTGGGAAAAACGCTACTAAATATTTGGCGCTATAATTTTCTTTTATTTTGATGATTTTAATAAAAGCGGCGATTAACGATAAATATGAGTATTAAAGATTAAAAATTTAAAAATTAGATTAAATGAACCTTACGATGAGAGATTTAATTAAATAGGAAATCAAGCTGTTAAAAAATTAATTCTACAATAGCTAGAATTAGTTAATCTAAAGATTCCAAGAATTGTAACTATGTTATTCAATCAATAATTTCTCATTTTCTCTTAAATCATAAACTAATCTTGCTCAAATTTGCAAATGACTTCTCCAAAAAAAAAAAAAGGTCAAACTCTTAAAAATTCATACAAAAAAACAGGTCTAAGGACCTCATGCCGAGAAACAAAAAGTATTTCAAATAAAAATATGCAAAAATGGATTGAATTTATCTCATAAAACAGTTTAGACATGTAAATAGACGCTTTAATTTATAGTAAATAAGATGAGAGGGAGAAAGGAAGGCGATTATCATCAGTAAAGCTCAAATTTATAGAGGGAAAAACATAGAAACTAGCAGATGCAAAGAGAAATGTTAAAAATGAAAACAATTGACAGAATAATAAGAGTTAAGCGTTATATAAAAAATTAGAACAATTAAATAATTTTCCTCCCAAGAGCACAAGCTAAACAAACAAACAAACAAACAAACAAACAAACAAACAAACACCCAAAAAGTGGGGAAAGATTTTGTAGAGATAATGTATATGATATTTATTTTTGCCTTTGGAGTGATTTTTCCTTCGAAACGCTCAAAGATCTATTCAAAAAAACACGTAAATCTTTTTTCATTCATTATTTTTATTTGGTTGTTTTTATATGTGTACCTATATTTAGACAATATTTGGTAGGATTGGCCTATTGATTAAGTAAATAAATAAATGAAGTATTTTGTATTAGAAAAATTAAAAATGGCTGGTTTTGATATTAATAAAATATTAAATATTTTTATCGGTATTAATGTATATGGTTGGTTGGTTGATGGTAGTAAAAATAATCAGAAGCCTTATTAATCAATCAAACAAATTTAAAAATAAAATCAATCTAATAAATAAATAAATCACTGGTGCATAAATAATTTGCGCATTCTTTAGAAAAGAAGCAGCAAACACAAGGAAATATTAAATTATTGTATTTATTTATGTATGTATGTATTTATTTACTTATTTATCTGCTATTGATAAGGTGGGGAGAATGAAAGCATCAAATAAATCTTTGTTTTATTTCAAATGAAAGAAATAATTGTAATTTTGAATTAATACTTTATTCATTTTAATTTAATCTATTTCTTGCATAACTGCAAAATAAATCAGTGAATAGATAGATAGATAGATAAAGTGGTGATTATTTTAATTGAATTACATACATACTTATAATGAAACACATATTTAATTATGCTTTTATTTAAATAAACATGACTTTATATCTTGTAAAATAATTGAAATTGATTAATCAACTTAATAAGCAATTAAGTGAGCATGCATTCATCAAGCAAACAAATATCAAACAAATAAACAAATAATCAAACAAATAGTGTGGGGTGTGGGGGCAGAATAATAATTAAGTGGGGAAATCAATTGAAAAGCAAGAAATGATCTTTTTTTCATTCAATTACAAAAGAAAAAAGTGAAAACTAAAAAGAGGGAAAAAACAATTAAAAAGTAAGAAATTAAGAGATGGGTGGGAAAAGTAAATTTATTAAAGAAGAGAATCAATGAATCAATCAATCAAAGAATGAATGAATGAATCAATAAATAAATAAAGACAAAAAGGTAGGTGAGAGAAACAAAAAAGAGAGAAACAAGGAAATATATAAGAAAAATCAATGAATTAATAAAGAAAATAAATAAATAAATAAATAATTAAAGAACTAGTTGCTAGTTAGTTAGATAGATAGAAAGTTAATATATCTATCGACAATAAATAAATTAATATTGAATATATAAAATTGCTTTCAAAAAAATAATAAAATAAGAAAATAAATAAAAAAGAAGACTATTCAAAACAATTAATTATTCTTCTTTGCTTGATCATTTGATTAACCCATTTATTAATCGCAGTTTAGCTAGCTTGATTGCCTTTTTGTAGTTTTTACCTCTTGGAAGATAGGATAGAGCTCACTCTAATAAATAATTTGATTGATTGATTTATTAAAATTAAATCGGAAATACTTTTAATTTAATAATAATTTTAATAACTTAATAATATTATAAATTAATCTTACGATGGAAGATAGACTCTCAGAATTAATTCAAGTAAATTCTTAATAAATAAATTACTCATTTATCAATAATTCTACCAAACTGCCTTCTTTTTATCTATACATTCATACATCACCCATAACCAATAATTAAATAAATAAATAATTTATCTCTCGATCCATCTTTCGATAAATTCAGATTTACTCTTTTCTTTTTTTATTTACTTATTTATTATTTTTTGGTTTTCATTTCCAAAACTTATTTTATAATTTATTAAAATATATTTATTCAAAATAACTTAATTACACTCTTACTCATTTTATCACATTACCCTCTTACCAACAACACTATCAATTAATAAATTATTGATTTCTCTCCTTCTGCTTTAAATTAATTGTAACCATCTTTTATAAAATTTAGTAAGCTAAGTACCTTTAGGAAAATGACTAAACAGACTCAGATAAGTACTTATAAATTTATGATCAACTCCGTTAAATCACTCTCTAGCAGGTAATTACACATTCTTCAGCCATTAGATTTATTTATCCATATAGCTTTTTAGCATATTTCCATGCTTTAAAAGCGATAAAGCAAACCAATAAGCAAGCAAGGATGTAACACAAAAGGTCAAAAAAAAACTAAATCACTTTTTAGCAAGCTGATTTAAGTAAAGCAAAGCGTATTTAACATTATCAAATATGGCATAGATAGTAAAAATGCTATAAATTAGATTTAGGCAAGCACATATGCGTTTTAAAAATCATTTTTTTGAAAGACATTTATTTTATTATTCTAGGTTGGTGCAATTATAATTAAGGATAAATAAATAGCTTAAAAAAAAAAATAGTGAAATAGCAGGATTAAAGTTTTTTTTATATTGATAGAGCGATGAACCAAACTATGCAATGGATCTTGAAGATAAAGCTATAACCAATGATTGTGCAGAATCGTTGACAGATAAACAAGTTTTCTAAATAAAACAATAAGTTCTTGCTTACAAACATATGATCAGGAACGTTCCACTTCCACGTGAAATAGAAAAGAATATCTACGGATTAACCAAAGAATAGTGGGACATAGAATCTGAACGCATAATGAGTCGTTCTTTGCGCTATTACAATGAAAGAATAGATAAAAATGAAGAATTAAAGAGACTTATCATGGATAAATTTAAAAAGCGTAACCCAGAGTAAATTCCAAGTGAATCACTTGTTAAAATGGTTAAAGATAACCAATTCCATCTGAAGAAGAGACAAACTGAGATACAGTCTCTCCTAGGCAACAATATTGAATTGCTCACAGAAGAAGCTATTGTCCGCCTCAAGGCAGAAAAGCTGATGATTGAACAAATCAATCTCTACAAGGAAGTTAAAAACAAAATTTTAAAACCAGAAGAAATCACAAGAATGCCTTCGCGCGTATTCGAAAAGTAGCTTTTAGACAGAAGTTTTTATAAAAAAGAGAAACCATAAAGAAAAAGCGAAGTAAAATATTTTACATATTTTTTATTTCAGTTTGTTTCAGTTAATTTCAACAAACAATAAAAAAAATAAATAAATCTAATTTAAAACAAATCATTCTTCATATTAAACGAGCTATCAATCAAATAAACAAACAAAAACACACACACATCCAAAGAACTAAATAATTAAATTAAGAAAGATAATTAAATCAGCAAAAACAACAAGCTATTCTCAAGAAACAATAAATATATTTAATTCCTAAAAACCCAAGCAAAATATTTATATATTATTTTTTCATATAGTGTAAAAATAACTAATAAAAAATCAATCATTCATTAGAATATTTTAATGCAAAAAACTCTATTAAACAATGGAGATTAATTAATTTATTTAAAGCAAGTAAAAAAACAGCTGTATTAAAAATTATTGATTTAAAAAAATTGAAATAAGATTAAGAATAAATTATTTATTATCTATCTATCTATCTTTTATTTTAAATGATCAAATCAAAAGATAAAATAAATAGTTAGCGGGATCAATTTAAAATAAAAGTTAGATCAAAAACTTTAATTAATCAATAAAAATTATTGGCTCGCTTTATTGCGCGTAGAAAAGATATTTTAAATTTTGTTAATTAAATTTAAAAAGCTTTAACAAATCTTTTATCTGCCAAATAAATAGTTAGATGCTTTTTTAATCAAATAAAATGAGACAGTTATTTATTTAGTTTATTTATTTATTTTTAAGAGCCTGTTCCCGCTTTATAGATTTTGTTGAAATTATTTGAAATAAAAATTTAAAACATGACTTAGCCTAATTTAAAAAACTAAAAACACACTTATTTATATAATATCAAAAACATAGCCTGATTCTTTGAAGAAGTTTGATGTCCAATTCAAGCAAGAATAAGAGAAGAGAAAGAAATAAAAGCATAGAGAATTCCTCTAGTAGATTTTCATTCACCAAAATGATTTCTTCGAATTCCACAAGAAAATCAAGAAATAGTTGAAGAAGCGCTCAAATGCTGCCAGACAATATCTCGAATAGCTCCAAATCAAGTAACAAATGCAAAAAGAAAAGGAAGCTAAAGAACGTATTCAAGTTCTTAAATCAAACAACATCGAAGATTATTATACTTTGATTGCCCAAATGAAAAACTCTCGTATTTTAGATCTTTTAAAGTAAACTGATAAATTCTTGCGTGAGCTCGGTGCTAAAATTAAAGAACAAAAAGGTAAAAATTAAAAAAATTTAATACTAATTAAAACTATCAATTTCTATTTCATCAGAAATTATCAATTTGTTTTTTATAATTTTATCTTATAATTTCTTCAAAATTTACAAGCTTGTCTTGCATCAACAACAAAAATTAATTTTTGATTTAATAATCAAAGAAACTATTTTCATTTCAAAAATATTATTTATGCTTAGTGATTGAATATTTGATAGAAAAAAATATATTTTGATCTATTCAAATTTCTTATTAAACCTTTTAATTTAAAAATTTTGTTGTTGAAGATAATTTAAATGTTTATTATGCTTTGATATTTATTATCATTTATTTTTGGAAATCATTTTTAAAATATACTTTAAATTTAAAAATAAATAGGTGATGCTTAAAATGAGGAAGATACTGATATTATGGTAGATCCTTACGATGATGATGTCAAATTGTTAGAAAATCTCTCTAAATCAAATAAAGTATATTACAATTTGAGTCATAAGATTTAAGAAACAATTGACCAATAACCAACTATTCTTGAAGGTGGTAAGCTAAAGCCTTATCAACTAATAGGTCTTAAATGGCTCATTTCTCTTTACAACAATAAGGTATAAATTATTTAGATTTGTCTCTTAAAAGGGTTTTTAAAAATTTATATTTTATAAATATTTAGCTGAATGGTATTTTGGCTGATGAAATGGGTTTGGGTAAAACTATTTAAACTATTTCTCTTTTTGCTTACCTTATGGAAGTAAAGAAGAACAATGGACCCTTTTTAGTCGTCGTCCCTCTCTCTACAATCAGTAACTGGGTTCTTGAATTTGATAAATGGGCACCCAAAATCAAGAAAATTGCCTACAAGGTAAGAAATAAATATCTCATGAAAAAATAATGAATTAAAATGTATTTATTAAATAAAAAAGGGCTCTCCTCAAGTAAGAAAGGAACTTGCTAAGGAGTTAAAAACAACTAAATGGAATGTTTGTATTACAACATATGACTACATCTTAAAGGACAGACTCACTCTTCACAAATTCGACTGGAAAGTAAAAGCTTTTCAACAAATTTATTATCTTCATTAAGTTGATTTGATTTAACAAGATTAAATTTTAAATGCTTAAAAAATAAAAAGCGTTTCATTGAAATGTTTTACTTAGTTATTAAGCTAAATTTATAGAATTTTTTTTGTTGATAATTTTAGTACATTATTGTTGATGAAGGTCACAGAATGAAAAACTCAAAGAGTAAATTCGCTAGTATATTAGGCTAACAATACACAAGTGATTATAGAATCCTCCTCACTGGTACTCCACTATAAAATAACTTGGGAGAATTGTGGGCTTTGTTGAACTTCTTGCTTCCAAAAGTATTTTCAAGTTGTGACGATTTCGAAAAGTGGTTCTCTATGCCCCTTTCTAAGTTTGGGTCTGCAGCAGAAAAGGAATCTGCCTTAACAGAAGAAGAAAATTTGCTTATTATCAATCGTTTGCATTAGGTAATTTTATTTTATTTAGTATTATCAAAGAAGCCAAATATCTTAATCATTAATTATATTCTAGGTACTCAGACCTTTCTTGTTGAGAAGAGTCAAAAAGGAAGTAGAGGCAGAATTACCTGATAAAGTTGAGCACATTATTAAAGTTGAATTGTCTTCTTGGTAAAAGATTCTTTTCAACAAAATTAACGATAGAAGTATTGATACCTCAAACGATAATTTCTAATCAAAGAATGGTAAAAAGGTAACTAAATAACTAACTAACAAATTTAACTTTTTTAAAGTATTATTAATAAAATAAACTCTATATTACATATTATACATCATACATCAGAACCCTCCCTAATTCCATAGTTATATCAAAAATTCAAATTTTAAGAAAAATTTATTTGAAAAAATAGGCTTTGATGAATTTGATGATGCAATTGAAGAAATGTTGCAACCATCCTTACCTTTTCTTAAACAGTGACGCTTATCAAATTGATGACATGATTTGGAGAGTTTCAGGAAAATTCGAATTACTTGATAAGATGTTAGCAAAACTAATCCGTACTGGACACAGAGTGCTTATCTTCACATAAATGACTCATGTTATGGATCTTATGGAAGAATATTTCAAATTAAGAGAGGACTACATTAAATATCTCCGTCTAGATGGTACCACTAAGGTATTTATTTAAATAAATTTTTATGAAATTAAAATTATTTATAGATTTTTAAATCTATCATTTTTTTTATTTATTAATGATGCTTTTACCAAACAAAATTTAAACAAATAGCATAATTAAAAAAAAACATATTTCAATTTCTAGTTTTTTTTTTCTATTTACAAGTTTTTACTTAGAAAAGAAGGAAAAAATTAAACATTTCATTTTATTAATTTGGAGAAAAATCATTTAAAGCATTTAACAAAATTAAAATAAAAAATATAGGCTGATGAAAGAGGTGTTAAGATGGCTCAATTCAACTAACCTAACAGTCCATATAATGTTTTCATCCTTTCTACAAGAGCTGGTGGATTAGGTTTGAACTTGCAAACTGCTGATACAGTTATTATTTTCGATAGTGATTGGAATCCTTAGATGGATTAACAAGCTTAAGATAGAGCCCATAGAATCGGCTCCAAGAGTGAGGTCAGAGTTTACAGATTAGTCACAAATACTTGGATTGAAGAAGAAATTCTATCTAAAGCTGCCTATAAGATGGGTCTTGATGAAATGATTATCCAAGCAGGTCTTTATAATTAAAAATCTACTGATAACGATAGAGAAGAAAAAATTCAAGATTTGCTTAGAAAGAAAAAACGTTATGATGAAATGGATGAAGAAATTCCTAACGACGAATAAATTAATTAGATTCTTTGTAGAAACGAAGTAATTAATTAATTAATTAATTGTTTTTTAATAATATAGTTTTTATTTCAACAATAATAATTTTTTTTTTAAAGGATGAATACTCAATCTTCACCTTAATGGATCAAGAAAGAATTGAAAAAGAAAAAGAGAGATACGAAAAGATAATGTCTTACAATCAAAATCAAGGAGCAAGTGAAGATGAAAATGATAGAAAAGTTAACTATCGTCTCTGCACTATTGAAGAAGTTCCTGATTGGATAAAGGCTCCTGTAAATAAAATAATTTTTTACATTTTAATGAATATTTATTCAAATTTTAATCATTTTTTATACAGCCTGAGAAAGAATCTGAAATAAAAGTCTATGGAAGAGGTTCAAGATAAAGAAAACAAATTAACTATTGTGACACCCTTACTGATCTCTAGTTTGCAAAAATGATTGAAGACGGAAAGAATCCTGTAACTAACTTAATTGTTTATTTAAATATAAGGCTCTTACTAATTTTTTTATTTAAATCGAAAGTATAAAAATGGAGAAAAAATCAACCTTGATGATTATTTGAGCGAAGATGATGAAGATGATTATGATGAAGACGATGATGGAGATGATTATAGAGCTAACATCTCTGATAGAAGAGAAAGAAGACTATAAATGTAATAGTTATAGGAATAATAATAAAACCAATCATAAGCAGGAGAACCAGCTAAGAAGGACAATCCTGATACTTTAGTTCCTGAGAAGTAATTATCTTCTGAAGAACAGAAAAAGCTTGAGGAATCAAGGAAGGCTGCAGGCAGAAAAGGAAGACCAAGCAAATAAGAGTTAATGACTCGCAAGCAAACAAATGATTCATAAAATAATTCTGTGACCAAGTAAGAATATGATGATAAGAGTGCTCGTAAGAATAAAAAATTGAAAGTGGATGATGATGATTTATAGAGTTAAAATAGTTAGTAGTAGCAGCAATAAGGAGGCACAAACCAAAGATAGACCAGAACTAGAGGTCAGTAGTAAAATGGTAAAAGTAAAGTTGATTACGAAGACAAAATATACATGGAAGAAGAAGATAACTACAACGATTTTGAAGAAGAAGATGATGAATGAGTTAAATAAATCAAAAAAAAATGATCAAATATAAATTTATAATAAACAAACTACAAGTGATAGACACAAAGATAACAGCATATAAAATCTGAAACATTTTTCATAAAGAAAATCATATAAATAAATATATAAATCAATAAATATTGATTGATTGATTAATTGATTCTATCCAATATTAAACAAATAAATAAACAAAACAAATATAAAATTAAATAAATAAATAAATAAAATATATCCTAAAATTCAAGCATTCCATTTAAATGTATTTGTATAATATAATTAAATTTATTTTATGATTGTTACAAATTAAGCTATTTTTAAAAATTAACCTATCTTTAGTCTTTTATTTAGTTAATAATTAATCTATTTTAGAATTTTTACTTCTTTGTAATGATAATATTTCTTTAAATTTAAATCAAATATTTATCATTCTTTGATAGAAGATTTAAAATTTTTTTAAAAATTAAAGCCATGAGTTTAATATATTTATTTGAATGCAAAATATACATAAAAAAAAGTGAATCAAGTTTCTTTGTAATGACTTCATAGTATGATTCAAATATGTATTAATGCATTTGAATTTATGATATTAATTTCTATTTATTAAAAAAAAATATTCAATATTCAATAAAATCAAATGTAAATAAATTATGTAGAATTTATTAAATATATTATCTAATTTTACTTTTAACTACAATAGCATGCATTTTTTTAAACAATAATTTTAAATATCTAAAATATTCAAAAAGATCAGAAAAATAGAAATTATGATCATTAATTATTTCTGATTTATTTAAAAAATATAAAAAATATTTTTAATATCAATTATATCAGTTAAAAACTAATGTATCAACATATTTTGAGATTTATCTTTGATATTTATGAACTATATAGCCTAACTAATTTATAATCTGACTGACTGTATATGACTGATTGATGGATTATATTATCTTTAATCAAATACTATTTTTAGCAAAAAGTTATAGCTTGAAAGATATAAACTAATTAAATAAACAAACAAACAAATAACCAGATGAGGTATAGCAAATTATTAAATTAGCAAAAATAATATTTGTTTGTTTGTTTCTTTATTTATTGTGATGCTTGGTATTTAATACATAATCAAATATAAAAGGAGCTCCACTGATTTATTTAATTAAGATAGATATCGAAATATAAACAAGAATGAATCAAATAAAAAATAACTTTTAAATAATTATTTATAAACTATAAAAATAGACATTTATTAGTAGTTGAATGAATGATTATTAATTATTTTTGATTTATTTAAAAATATAGCAAATATTTTTGACAACATCAATTAAAAAAGCTAGTTTATGAAAATTATGTGAGATATATCTTTAATATTTATGAATTAGTGAACCTAATTATTTTATATCTGACTGACTGTAAATGATTGATTGATTGTTAACTATTTTTAATCAAATCCTATTTGCAACAAAAAGTTATAGCTTGAAAGATATAAACTAATTAAACAAACAAATAACCAGACGAGGTATGGCAAATTTATACATTTAGGAATATCTATTTATTAAATTTGCAAAAATAATATTTATTTATTTGTTTGTTTATTTATTTCTTTATTGAGTTGCTTAGTATTTAATGCAAAATCAAATATTAAAGGAGCTCCACTGATTTATTTAATTACGAGAGATATCAAAATATAAACAAGAATCAACCAAATACTATAAAATAGTCATAAATAATTATTTAATCTTCTTAAAGTACATACTAAATTTATTTATTTATATATTTATTTATATGTCTTCGCCCCTTCCTAAACAAAGAGCGAAATCTACCACTAAGTCTACTTTGCACTCTCAAAATAAAACTACTTTGTCTACATTTGACACTTAGTAAGATGATTTCAAATTAAATGAGTCTCACTTGAGAAATATTCTGTATGATTTTAACTCCTCCACAACTACTCAAGAAAAGCTATGTCAAATGAAAAATTGTCTTAATGAATTGCCTTTAGAGATGATTAGGGATGTAGCTTTCCTTCCTTAAGAGGATGATTCGAATATAAAAGAGCCAAATACTTCTAAGGAAATACTATATACAACTAAAGGCTTTACAAATAAAATGAAAATCTCATTTATGAAGATAAAGAGCTCGCTTAACCCTAATATTAATGCTACTACGCTTTAAAATTTCTTCATTAAAACACAGTAAGAAAATGACAGAATAAAATAAAATTATTCACATATAACGGTGGCTAAAGAGATTTAAGATTCTCCTTAAATATAAAGAAGTCTAACTCCTAAAGCCAATCAGACCTTCCTCACTCCATAAAACAAAAAAATAAATATAAAATTTATAAAAACTTAAAATCAGAAGAGCAATCCTTTTAAGCTTTAGTTAACAGAGAATATTAATGGAACTAATAGAAGAATTCACACCACATAAAACGATTGCAAAATAAGACAAGCTTAGTCAATTTTAGAAATCGTTTCAGACCATGATAAAATATTAGACAAAACTAACTAAGAAAAGCAGATGAATTCTAATGTAAATCATAAATAATTACTTCAAAATTATTCTAACTTCAAGATACAATCAATCAATAAGCAAAAAATATATAAAAACAATTAATGAGCAAATAAATTTAAAGATAAATAATGTTAATTATTATACCATTCATACATTAATATACATGCCATTAAATTTTTTAGGATTAAACAAAAAGATAATTTGAAGCTTTAATCCCCAACATTCACTTAAAAATTTACTATTAACTTGTCTTTTCATTACTATTAATTGCTAAAATTACTTAGATTCATATGACGAAGTATTTATTTTTTTCATAGAATACTATTAAAATATATATTACAAAAGAAGATAAATAGATTTAGAGATTTTCTATGGATTGATAAAAAATTCAATTTAGATAGTTTTATTTTAAACTAAAATAAATTCTTTTAAATATGAAGTAATAATTCAATTGGAAATTATAAACATTAAATTTAATAGAAAATACTCAATAAGTTAATCAAAACAAATAACCTAAAGCTTATTGGATTAACAAATATTATTTATTTTAAGCGATTTATTTTTTTAAAAATTAAATTCAATAATTAAATGAAAATTTACTGCAAAATAGTTTATTGATGAAAATTGTTAAATTTTAAGAAAAAAATTTTAAAACTAAAAATTAAATCTTAAGGAAAGATTTTATCTTCCAAATAAAAATATTTCCTTTTTTTTGTTAGAAAATTATTTGAAAAAGAAAATCTTTATTTTAATTAAAATTTTGTTTACATTTTTCTAATGAAAATTTTAAAAACTATTTAGACAAATATTTTTGACACTCCTTAAAACTCTTATGATAATTCTAAATCTACTCAAGATAAATCTACCTCAAGAAATGTATCTGCTAACTTAAATAAAAAATATTATGATATTGAAGACTCTATTTAGAAGTTTGAAGTAGCAAACTAGTTTTATGATATACCAGTTAATTTAAAGTCAACTAAAAAGAAGTGTTTAATTCCTAATAATTACAATAATAGCAGTATGATATATAATAATTAAGATTAAAGTCTTTTAACGAGTAAAGCGAGAACAGTACGAAGTGTATCTAATTAAGCAGGAAGAGATAGATCTTTCATATAAAATGATCATATTAATAACTCATTCAGCAATGCCTTGAATAGTAACAATAGCAACAATAACTTTTACTAAACAAACAAATTACCTAGTTTTTATAAAAATAAAGAGGCTAGTCCATAATATAAAACAAAGCCAAATTAAATAGATTTTGAAGAAAGTTATTTAAAATCAAAGTAAAAAACGCCAATTAAATCCATAAAATTAAGCTCAAGTCCGTATAAAAATACAGAACAATAGTCAGAGGAGGAAATCTCTTTCTTTTAAAAGAAAGTTAGAAGAAACGCTCTAATTGACTTAAGGAAGCTAAATCCAAATATTTAAAAAATGACTTAATATTCTAAAGATTTTTTACCTCCATGGCTTCGTGCTCGCCCTGATTTTTTAAAATTATATTTGCAAGACCAAATCAATAAAAATTTGAAACTACCTACTATTTTTGTGAAAGAGTATAAATTAATTTATAATAAATAAATAAATAAATAAATAAATAAATAAATAAATAAATAATATTTTGATCATTCATTTATCATTATAATAATATATTTTTTATTTATGAATAAAAAGCTACTCATTAAGAACAATGGCTGAAAAGCAAGAAACACACAAATATTTAAGCTCAATCCCTTAATTTTCTCAACTTGAGTCTGATTTAGTTGATCTCATTTCCAAAAAGATAAAAGTTGAAATATACTATCCAGGAGACTTCAGTAAAAACTAAAATACAAATAAATTTTTTGCATCTATCTTCTAAAATTAATTTCTGAAATAATTAAATTTTTTTATCATTCAAATAATTAAAAATCACAAAATTAATTGAAAACATGCTAAAAAATATCAACTCATTTATTTGCTTCATTGGCTGATTTATTTATTTTTGATTTAATTACTTATTTACTGCTCAATCAAATCATTTTTCTTGAATTGTATTTTAAATTTAAAATTACAATAAAAATTTCATTTTTTTATTTATGCTTTAAATATTTTGCTTTACTTAAAAGTTAAAAATATGATTATTTTTTTGTAAAAAGATAAATAAATTTATCAATATTTTCTATTTAATTTAGTATAAGAAATAAATGAAGTCTGTTAAAATATAATTATTTTATATGATGGGCAAGTTTCAAGAATTTTTAAAGACCAGAAGGAGGAATAATTGGAAAAAAACATAGCTTTAAATACAACATTTCTAAGAAAATAATTTTTTAATTAATTTGGCTTAAAATCAGAAAATAACTGCATTATATTTACCCTAAATGCTGAAGATTTATAAGAAATCGATAGTGAGTTTGCATCTAGCATTTCTAATGATTTTTAAATTATGCTTACTTTACATGATTTCTTCCATAAATATGAACCTAAAACTCTTAAATAAATGTCTATTTAAGCAAAAGGAAAACTTCTCTTCCCAGGAGAGAATCTTTTTAAAATTGGAGACCCATCAAATGAAATTTATTTTATTTACTTCGGAAAGATTGAAAAGAAAAAAGTTTTCTACACACAAGAAAAGAATAGATGGCCGATTGTAATTTTTTCAAACACAACTTATTAATTAATTTATTATTTTTAAAATTATTATTTTTTATTATTTTATTGAAAGAGTTTATTTAAATTTAATTAAAAAAGAAGAAAAATAACAATTTAAAAGACTCCTTAGAAAATGGAGAGGATTACCATTTATAAGAAAATAATTATGGGTACAGAGTTTTCACAAAGAATTTCACAAACTCTAAGTTTTTAGGTAAGACAGACTTTTTTGGTGATTAAGAGACCATCTATGAAGTTGGAAGAAGAACTGAAGCCTCCGCTGTAGAGCCAACATTTTTATTGTGGTTAGACAGATAAACATTTTTGAATATTTTAAGTTTAGACGATTTAAACTAGCTGTATAAATTTAGGGCATAAAAACCAATCAAACTAACACCTGAACAAAGCCCTGAATATTATTTTAAGTTGGAGAAAAAAAATAAATATCAAGTAAATTAATTTAAAATATTTAAGAAGATTTATTTATTTAAATTTAAAAAAATTAAAAATGTAGAAAGAAAGAATATTAAATGCGTTAGATGTAGTTTTTAAATGTGAAAACAATTTATCTTAGTTAGAAAGGGTAAAATTAATTTATTTTTAATAAAATGGAGAAATAAGTAAATAATTATAAATCTTATGTTAAAAATAGCTTGAAAAGAAGATAGAACCATTCAAAAAATAGATACTCACTAAATATAATGTAAAAAATAAGTTTAACACAACATGTTATAAATGAATTAAGTTTAAATTGATAAAAAATACTAATTTATTTATATATTTATAAATATATATTTACTTACTTACATAGTTACTAACTTACTTAATTTAATTATTCCAACGAACACTTCAGTTTGTTTTGCATTTAATACAAATTATTTAATTTAGTTGATTTTATTAATTTTGTTTAATAGCCTAATTTGTTATTTTATCAGTAATAACATTATTAGTTAATAAATTAATTAATTAATAATTTAAAATTAAAAGGAAGACCCATAATAACAAAAATTTAAATTTATACCTGTATTTGAATATTTCTAAACATATTTATTTAGATTCTATTTTAATAAATTATCTATGAGTTCGATGATGAGTTTATTTTAACGGCTTATGATTCATGATTATAATCTGTGCATCACCACTCTGAACTATCTGTTTTTTTTAAAATAATTTTATATTAATATCAAAAATACACTAAAAGCAAATTAACTTTTGTTTGCTTCTAAAACTTAAAATCTGATAAACAAATACAATGCTTTTTAATAAATACCTTATTTTTATTATTTTAATAAAATTTAACTTTTTATAAAATTATTTTTACAATTGAGTTAAAGCAAAACTTTTATAATGTTCGTTCATCCGCTTTTTCTTAAGAATTAATAATATACATTAAATACATGTTAAATTTATTTATTTATTTATTTAAATTTTGGAGATAAATATTAATATTTTTTGTTATATCATTCTTATATTGGATGAGCGTTTACTTTTAGAACATAAATAATTTAAGAACAAGTTTTGAAATTTGAAAGGCTTTTAATTTATTATTATAATTATTATATTAAATTTATTATAATTTAAAAACACAAAACATTTATTATTATATATAAGAGGAAAGATAAATTTGTTAAATACTTTTTTAATTATTTATTGGTTTTATAATCAAGAAGGAAAATTAATTAATTATCTAAATAAATAAGTTTTTCTAATTTATTCATCTATTTATTTATTTATTATTTTGTTAGAATATTTATTATTTGTCATTCTTACTTACTTACTAAATTACTAACATTCACAAGTTAGTTCAAAACTAATAGGAACGGTTTTGGAGGTTAGCACTTTAGCGCTTTGAAGATGAAATGTGCTTTCTTTTGTAAGTTGAACTGTTTCTGTTATTGTTTGTATCTTTTTCTCTGCTACTAAAGATTTTTTTGCTTTATATATTACTCATTTCTATTGATTAATTGCTTGAAAATCTTTCCAATTTATTTTAGCTACTATTTCTTACTGAAATATCTGTTTTAACACGCTAAGTAGGACTTTATATTTCATCGATGGAGCCTATTAAATTTTATGACGGTTTTTTGTTATTTAGAGATATATCGTTACAAGACAGCTGACCTAAGTCGTTATACATATAGCCACTATAGTCGACTAGCAATTTAGAGAAATACGGTTATTTTATTTTACTATTTGAAGGGTTTTAATTTTTGAATTTAGAAGACTAAAGTACATTTTGCAATTATTTTTAAGGTTATTTTATAACATTTTTTGAATTACTTTATAGTCTGTAAGAAGTAAATTCTCCTTAATCTGCTTTCGGTGAAAGCTAATTGTATTTTTTAGAATTAAAACTCTACTATATATCAGAATACTTTATAAGGTACTATGTATCGTTTTTATTAGCCTTTGGTTGAATGATTTCACTATTATTTTTGAAGTTGTTGATTTTACAAATTGTATTGCTGCTCGTATTTTGGTTTTGAGTAGATTTTGTGATATCATTTGTTTCTGTTGGAATTGTTGTGTCTACACTAATTTTAGACATTGCTTTCTAGAATTTAGATTTACTACATTCATTTAGTATTACATCTGCAATCTGTTGGGTATCTCCAGATAAGGCACTATTGCAAGATTCTTTATTTTTGAATTAATTTTATTTACTTTTAATTTTTTAACTAAAATTTTACTTTTCATGACTTATGGTAACTGCTTTTGCACAGCAAAGGTATAAGAGAGTCTCTAAGGCTGATTATATGGATCACATTAAGACTGAGATCTTCTATTTTTACCTTAAACAATTTAGGCAAGGGCATTTTAGACTTTATTATTTTGTTTGTATTTGATAAGAGTTGGAAGAAAAATATTTTTATCTTAGTCTAAAATGCTCTATGCTTCTTTTTTGGTTTCTTATTTTGCTATGAACTCAATTAACGGTTTTGATTCTTCTTAAATGGCTTAGTATTCTTAATAGTTGTTTAAATTAGAAGATGTATATTTAATTTGGCTGCATTCTAAATTACTAACTGAAATTAAATTGTTTTAGGATTAAATAATGCTATCTTTAATTGATAACTCCTTTAAAAGACAATCAATTTCCTAATCTTAATTGGTAATCTTTTATTGATATTAATTATGTCTATCTATCATATCTTGGAATGATTTTGCTTTTTGGTCAAATACCTTTAATAATTTTATTCTCTGCTCTCCACTATATTCCTTAATTTTCTATTAATAGAATGAAATAAAATTTAATATTTTTTAATAGATTTATATTAGCACAAAAAATAATACTTATAGCAAATTAATTCTGTTTAGAGATAGTTTTTCTAGTTTTTAAATAGAAATCTGCTTATTTTATTTAAGAGACACTAGCTTGACATTGCTATTATAATCTTTTAAAAGCTATTTACAAGATGATTCGTTGGATTATAAATTATTTAAACTAATCACTGGATCATATTACTAATACTAATTCATTGTCTATTAATTTTCTTATTCTATTAAATTAATCCTATCGCTTATATAAGAAATGTCTTTATAACATTCTGTCTCCTATTCGAAGTGCTTCTAAATCTCAAATTTAAGTTTTTATGATTCTTCCTTTGTGAAAACACTTTCATTTAATACCTAGCTACCTATTTTTAACATATTTATTGTAAAAAATATATACCTCATAATATTTATTTTTAATTTTATATTTTAAATTCAAGTCATTTTTCTTATTTATTAGTATTTTTGGTAAAATTAGAAAATAAATTTGTTATTTTAATATTTATTAAAAATAAATTAAGGTGAATAAAATAATTTTGATTTTTTTAATACTTTGCTTCAAGCTTTAATCTTAATTTGTTTCTTCTACCAGCTTTTTTAAGTAATTATTCTGGCGTTAGAGACCTTCTACTAGCTAAGCATAGTTAGCAATATGCTAGGAAGAAGTAACTTCATTTTTAATTAAAATATTTTTGATTCTCTTAGCATGCGAGGCATAGAGTAAGCTGTTCATGGTATCTTCATAGCTAGAGTTAGCGATAGAAATATTTGCTATCATCAGGGTCTTGCAGTTCCCCCCTAAACTGTTTTTCAACATCCTAGTTAATTTAGAGTTTCTGTATGGCACATGATTATTTTTATTTCCCTTTGAAAGCTAATTTATGCAGTAGCCTAGTACTATTTAAGCAAAATATAAATTAATATTAAATACTTATTACAAAAGATTATTTTATTTTTACCTAGAAGCGATTAATTAATTTTTTAAGTCTCTAGTTAGTTTGATGAAACTCCTGATTTCTCAGAGCCAGCCAAATCAACTAAAGTTAAGGTAGAGAACTGTGTTGATTCGTAAATACCTTAGTTAATATCTTTGTATTGTATGTGAATTTAGACGACTGCATGAGAGCGAGATGATAGAGAATTCAAAGTAGTTGCATCAACTGTTCTATTTTTATTTCCAAAATCTATCAAGTTTTAAATTTATTCGCAATTTGCAATTTGAACTTCTGTAACGTTAGCCAAAATAGTTCCTTTGACAGGATCTTCTCTGAGTTCTAGATTTTAGGTTTACTTCTTAGTGTTAGATGAATAACCTTATTAGATGAGATCCCTGATTTATTCATTATATATTTCTACATAAGAGAATTTAACTTTGAACTGCTTGTGTTCTTAGACTTCTTAGATTCTTTCAAAGAGTTTTTTGCATATCAATTAGGTGATCCCCTCTGATTTTCTGTCTCCTTACATACTAATTCATAATAATTTTGGAATAGATGAACAAATTTTTTAGATTACAGATTGATTAAAACACAAAAAATTAAAGTAAGATTGTAAATATCAATTCTTTAATTAAAATCCTTTATTTTTTTTGTAAGAAGAAAATCTATTGATAGGTCAAACAAAAAAACAATCAAACAATTAAATTATCTTCAAAATTGAATTTTTCAGACTCCTAAATTTTATAATAAATACTCTTATAACATTGCTAAAATATATCAGTTAGGCTTATCAAAATTACGAAATTTTTGATTAGAAATTAATATTTTTATTTACGTGAATGTTTTGCCAGATCCAGAAGCGCCGTATGCGAAAATAGTTGAGTTGTAACCTTACAAAAGGTAGTCTAAAAAGGGAGAAACAGATTCTTAAAATATGCCTTCCTTTAATTACATTAATATTAAGTAAGCTAAGTGAGAATTAAAAATTAATAATTTTGATAAAATTATCATTAACTTTAGAAATATATCCAAATATTTTTCAATTTTTTTTTTGAAGGATTAATTTTTAATATGACTAATTAGTTAGTTAGTTGGTTTTTGATTAAATGGATTACTCGTAAAAACACTAAGAATAGCAATATTTCATTGCAAAAATATATTCAATTTTGATTGTTAAATAATTTCTTGTATGTTTCCAATTAAATTTAATTATTAAAGAAACATATAATGATGTATGTATTATGCTTGCTAATGTTACAGATCTAAAAATAACGTATTTAATTATATTTATACATTTGTTGCTGATTCTTCATAAACACGGTCAAATTCGAATGCTTAAGTAGGTTGTTCTATGTTTGATTTTTAGTTCGCTTAGCTTAAACTCCTTTTATGTTTCATCTAAATCTATTATTCCTACTATTATAGGAAAATATTAAATCATTAAAGAATTTACTTTGTTTATGAAAAACATGGATTAAATAATATCTACTGAGAGAATAAATAAATAAAAAAATAAACTTTATTACATTAGAATTTATCTAAATTGTCCTTTCATCCCAGATCTATAATTTTGGTGTCAAGTAATTTCTTTTGTCTTACAGTTCTTAATTTGTTTTTGGCCTCACTCTCACACAAACCTAATTTTTAAATCCATTATTTTTTATTTATTTATTTACTTTTTCATTCACATATTTGATTTATTTTGGCTTTATATTTCTTTAAAGCTCAAATCAAAGATGTAAAAATAGCAATATAAAATCTTTATAAACAATGATGAGGAATCTAATTTTTTACACTTAATTTGAATTTCTCAACACATTCAAAACTCTTTTCTGAAGGTTCTGTTTTAAGTACTCGCTGATATTATTCGCAGTCTATATTCTAATCTCTTTTTAGAAAAAAATAAATATTCCTTTGCCTATATTTATGATAATGATCATAATTAATAACATTGTAAAAAATGTTAATAATGATAGAATAATTCATCATGCTCTATTTTCATTAATAAAAAGTTACTAATTGACTTTTTTTCTTGACACTTCACCCTCAGTTTTTAACCTGAGAGACTTAATTCCATTTTTAATCCTAATAACTAAAGGCTTATTTTCAAGTTGACTATTCATACAAATTAAAGTTGTGAAATTTGTAATCTTTCTTATACTATAATTAATAATTATTAAAGATTCATTGTAAATAAATATATGTTAATTGATATTTGTATTTAAAATTTTTAATAGCTAGTAGTAAAGTAAATAGCAATCTAGTTTTTGTAACAAAATCAATTAATTGCAACAAATTCTTTATGCTTTTCCAGTGAGCAAAATAATTCATTGATTGATTGATTGATTATTTATGCCATAATTTCAATTTAGTCCCATTATAGTAAAGATTTTTATTAGTTTACAATATTTTAATAATCGCTTAGAATAAAGCAAAATAAGCCTGAATTTATATAAATTAGAATCTTAAAAATTATCTTAAAAAGCAACAATTTCGCTTTGATGAAATGGTCATTTTTAGATTATTTCATTGCATGGTTTTTTGATAAAGTAAATTAAAAGCTAAAAAATTGAGTTGTAAATAAAAATAGTATATTAGTACTATCTAACTAACTAACTAACTAATTAGCTAAGTCAATTTAAACTTAACTTTTTATCTATTGACTAATAAATAAATAGTAATACTAAATTAATTATTAAACAAAAAATAGATAATAAATTATATTCATTCTTTAATAGGAGTTTAAAGTTAAGCCATTTATTAATTTTATCCACTATTAAAATTTGAATAAGTAGTAAATAAATAAATATTAGAAACATTAAGAAGTTTAAGAGCCAAATATTTTCAACCATTCTTTTCTTTTTAATAATAAAATCATCAAAAAAATTAATTTAATCAAAAGCAATATCTTTCTTTCAAATAATTTTATAATAAATGCTTCATAAAATTATTAAAATTTACTCAACTTATTTTACATTTTTTTACAATTAAAATAATTTTCATCATTTATTTCAACTTTTTTTTTTTAATATTTAAAATAATTTTTAGGAAATAAATTATAATTCCGTAAATAAAAATTTTTATATTTAGTTTTATTCTATTATTTGAGAATATTTTTATTGAAAAATACTTTGGGGTAACAACAAAATATTTACCAATCACTTATTTTTTTTTCTATTAGATATTTATTTTTATTAAAAATATGAAATAGAGGAATACTTCATGGTTTATTTTCTTAATAAAATATTGTTTAAATTTATTGAAAAAATTTTAGAATGATTTAGAAAATTAATTAAAAAATTATAAAATAAAAGTTTTTATTGCTTTAAACTATCACAAGTATTATTTAAAGAATAAAAATAAAATTAATTTATTATTTTAAGAATAAAAAAATTAATTTCTTTTAAATTCTAAAAGATTAATAAATGAATTATCAAATCATATTGTAATGTATTTTTAAAAAGCTAAATAGAGAAACATTGTAGATTAATTAATTTAAATACATCTTTATGAGCTATGAAAGTAGAAACTGATAAAAAATAATTTAATTTTGATTATTTTAAAAATCCACTTATTTCATATTTACTAAAATATTAAGATTTTTTTATTTTATTTTTAGTCACCATAAAAAATACTTTAATACGATTTATTTGCATTTATATATTAAATGAGAAATATAAGCTTTTAAATAAGTTTTTAAATATAATAAATTTGTTTTTTTAATAAATATAGTTAATTAATCTAGCACATTGAATGAACAAATTAGAAAATTATATTTATTATTTACTTCTACTATTCAACTATTGATTGATTAATTAATTAATTAAATAATACTTTAGCACTTTTAACAAAATTATTCTATTGAAATAGCAAAAAATAAACTTATGGAAACTAATTAATAAAATGTAAAGCAAAATTCATAATTTTCATTATCTTCGTCCTCCTCGTCTGATGAAAATAAAAAGCAAGGTGAGAAGATGTCTTAAGAATAATGTTAGTAAGGAGAGGAATAATAAAACAATAATATAAATTTTAATGACCAATCTAAGTAGTTCCAAAATGATATATTTTAAAATAATGACAAGATTTCAAATAATCATCAATTCTAATAGTCACATCAAACAAATGAAAACCAGTAATTAAGTGGCAATGATTAATAACCATATATTTTTAATAATAAACCATATACCTAGCAATACAGGGATCTATTTAACAACTATGATGCCTACAAAATACCTCCAGACTTTGTAAAAGCTGATCAGCATAGGGTAATAATTAAAATAATAAACACAACAATATTCAAATTTTAGTAAAATAAATAGCTTTCTTTTTCAAATTCTAAAAATTTGTATTAGATTTGTTAAATTTACTGCTGATGTTGCATTTAAACAAAAAATTAACTTATGAAAATTTAACTTTTGAATTAATCAGCTTCTATTTTTATTTTTAGTAGAAGTTAAACATTTTTAATAATTTATTTATTTATTCAGTTGGCGAACACAGTAGGACCAGAAAAAGATATTAATCAGATTAAAGAAAATGAAAATATAGAGTATTGCGAGTGTTGTGCTAGATAAATTTAGAGAAATTAATTATCTTTGAAATGCAACATTTACGAGCTCAGTTTTCTAGGGTGCGGTTTTCCGCTTTATTTTTATTTTTTGAAGTAGTGCATGATAATGCTTTCTATATGTTTATTTGTTTGTGGTATTTTTAATATAATAACTAATATTATTGGTTCAGAGCCTTGCACAAAACAATAGGAATCGTAATAGAATAATGCTTCATCATCAAATGAGGCTATATGTGTATAGGGAGGCTATTTCAGCATTTTTGCGTTAGGGAGAAAGCAAGACTAAGACACTTTTATGCAGATTCAAGGCTATTTAAATTTAACTTCAATGATAGCCATGATGATATTTCTACAGTTTTTTAGAAAATTGTAAAGGGAATTAGCTTATAAATGTGATGACGAAGACATTGCAGCTAATGATTACACAATCATGATAAAAAACATTCCAAAAGATTTTGATGCAATAAATGATGACTATGATGATGATATAAAGGAGTTTTTTGAGAAAAACTCTCTATAAGAAAAACGAGTGGAGGTGATTTCAGTTACTCTCTGCTATAATCTGACTGAAATAACTGCTCTATAAAATCAAAAGGAAAAACTTATTCAATAAAAAAAGAAATGTCTTACAACGATATATAAAACTTAAAATTAAATAGATTCATATGACTATTCAAAGGATAAATTATCAAGATAAATTACAGAGAAAGAAGCTTAGTCTTAAAATGAAGCCATTTAAAAGCAAAACTCAATAAAATTAAAAGTAGGTATAGAGTTAGGATAAACAGAAAGTTAAAACGATCAAATAAAGAGAGAAAGTAATTTTTTATTAAGTTAATACTTTATTATGAATGAATGAATGAATGAATACATTTTAATAAAATAATAAGCTTTTGATGAAAATTTAGATGTAAATAAATAGCTTGAAATATAGGAAAAAAATAAATCCAATTAAAATATGTTTTAAAGTCTTAATGGAAGCCCATTACAGTCTAATGTGAGAAAAGATTATCTTTAATTTTTAACCAAACACTATTCAAATTCTATTGATTAATCTAATGTTGATATTCCTGCTGCTTCAGACATGCCTTAAGATATTGCTGAAAAATCTGAAAAAAATCTAAAAATAAAATTTAAAGGAAGTAAATCGATTGAAATGCAAATAAAAAGATTAAAAGAATAGCTTTTAGAAGAGGAAAAAAACCTAAAAATCATAGAAAAACAGATTTCATATTTAGATAAGCAACATTAAGATCTGACCTAAAAGCTCATGCAAGGCTAAGGAAAGGAGTTTATGAAAAAATATTTTACAGGCAAAGCTTTGGTGTGCTTTAAATATGAATAAGGTAGGTATATTCAATTAATATTTATTACTCGTGTATCAATAATAGTAAAATAAGTAACTAAGTAAATAGTCCATCTATTTGAAATAAATAATTTTTAATAAGTATTTGAAATTTTCAAAATAATTTTTTAATTGATTTTTTATTCTTTTAGATAAAGAAGAAATCATTAATAGATACAAAGCAATAGGTATTTCTCAAAAAATTATATCAAGGGAAAAAAATTTAGCAGAGAATTAGATGATTTACCATGGTAATAAATTAACAATTATATAAGCTCCAGACCCTAATGATATAAATTGGATGAATTTACATGTTTCAAATAAAGAAAAGATTAAAAGGAGGCTTATTGGGTTTTTCTTATCAATTGTTACTTTGTGCATTTGTGCATCAGCAATATATGCTTTTCATGTATTCTAATAATCTTAAGTTTAAGGAAATAAAGAATCTTCTAATACAGTAAAAATTCAAATTATCACTTATGCTCTAGCTATTCTGATCAATGTTTATAACTTTATTTTGTGTGTAATACTACAAATTATCAATAGGTAAATTTTTCTAGACTTCTTATTTCAAATGCTTTATTATTTTTTCTTTTAATTTCAACAGATATTGTAAAAATTCTACTAGAACTAAAGATAATATTTTTCTTTCAAAAAGTCTCTCAACAGCAAGATTTATAAACTCTGCTATTGTAGGTTTTATTATTTAGTTGTACGTTTCCAAAAAATCAACTAAGTAAGAAATTCTCTTTGGTCAAGGTAAATTAAAATAAAAAAGAATATTCATAAAAATATAAATGAAAGCAAGAAAAAATTTATTTACTAAATAATAATCCAAACAAACATCTAATAAATTTTTTTATTTTTAAAAATTTACAAATAGGTGGACTTGCCGATGATGCTAATTATTTTATGATTACAAACTGTATTTTACCTACTATAGCTCAAGTAGTCAATGTTGAGTATTACATATAGGCTTTTCTCAGAAAAATTGAGGAAAAAAAAGGAAATTAATCAGTTAAGACACAAGAAGAACTAAATTTGTAATTCAAAATAAATTCCTATTTTATAAACAAACATTTTTTTTTGCTTTTAATTAATTTCAAAGAATTTCTGAAAATCCTCAGTTCCCTATTGAAGAAAGATATGCTTAGCTTTTAACCACTATGTTCACAACAGCTTTTTATTGTCCTATTGTTCCTATAACGATAATTTGGTCTCTCATCTGTTTTATTCTCTAATATTGGATTGATAAGGTAGTTTATTTAAAAAAATTTATTTTACACTAAAAATAAATGCATATTTTCTAATTATTAAACCTTAAATAGTACAATTTAATCTACAGAAGCTCAGTTAAGTATAATATGAGTTCAGAATTAAGCTTAGAGATGACTGAGCATTTGGAATACTTTTTACCAATTTAATGTGTAAGGTTTTAAAGATTTATTTAAAAATATAAATTTAAATTATAAATTTGAATAGCTTTCTACATTAATTTTTTACCAATATGCAAATGGCGGTGAATTTGGACTTTCTTCTATATTAGGAACAGTTTTAGGATTTTTGCATGCTTTCTTACCTATGCAAGAAATAAATGAAAGGTTTTTTAATGTTAAAAACCCATAAGCAAATACGATAGATTATGAAAGTGCATAGAAATACTTTATAACTGATTACAATAGAGAAAACCCAATTTACAAAATGCAAGCTAGACAAAACCATGTCTTAAATATGAGTATGAAAGTTAGTGTTTAAAAAGATTCTTTGAGAAGATGTGGTTTTAATTTAGGCCATCAATTACTTGAAGACAGCATACAATCTAAAAATTCTCAAACTCCGTAGTAAAGATAAAGCATTTTTAGTCCTTAATTTGTTATCACTTAAGAAAATGAAAATCGCTTTTCTCATTTCTTAAAACACAATGAAGAATCAGAGAAATTTTCTTCTAATTTTGATGGTAAAAATAAATTCCAATGCAATTTGTTTTATTTAAATATCTTAACAATCTAAAAATTTCATTTACATTAAAATTTGAATTCTCGAAAAAAATATGCTCATAAAATTATCTAAATTGTATTTTGTATAAAAAATCAGGTAAATAATAAAATCCGTTTTAAAAACTCGAGGAAAAAATATATCATAAAAGCTCATCATATAAGAAATGTCAAATTTAACAAAATATTAAGTCTGATAAGAATGATACCAATTTTGGAATAGCTGATCATGATTAATCATCTGTATCCCTGAATTTCAAAACTTAATAATAAAACAATAAGGCTTTTATTTTTCCATCAAAATCATACACTATCAATAAATAAAACATTTAGTTTACCCTTAAGATTAAGCCATTCATGCTTAAATTACCGTAGAAATCAAATGAAACAGAATCTAGTGAATAGTAGCCGTAAAAAAAATAGAATAAAATAAACAATTTACCATAAAGTAGGCATATTAACAGTAAAAGTATGTGTTTACCTACTGATTTAAGAATTATATCCAAACACAGTAAAAATAGTTTGAGTTTTGGTTCTAAATATGATACTTTTGCTTAAACATTTACTAAACCAAATTAATAACAATTGAACACAGCAGGAAATTTTGAAAAATTAGGATAAAACATGCATTTATAATTCAATTTTAACTATAAAGACTTTCCACTTAAATACAAAGAAGATCATATATTGGATTAATAAATAGAAGATGCTATCAAAATCACAGAGTGAATGAATGAATAAATGAATAAATAAATAAGTTATTAATTATTATTCTCTATAATATAACTTACCAATGAATAATCAAAGCTGCTAGCTCATGTATTCAATTAAATTAATTTAACAATATTATTTTATCAAATAAAAATTTAGAATTTTAATACTTTAAATTACTTAACTAATAATATATAGATTTAAATATATTTATATTAAATAAATTAAATTAATAAATAAATAAGATGCTTTAAATAAATAATTTTAATTCAATAAATAATACTTATTTGTTCAGTAAAACAATAATTAAAATAAATAAAATTTTAATTTAGATATTTTTAAACATTATTTAGATATCTATTATTTAAAATGATAATTCTTTTTTTAATTAATTAGATGGTTAAATTACTCTTTCAAATGAAATTATTGTTTTATCTAAAATTTATAAAGTGTTGCTCTCTTAATTTTAATCAATCAAAAATATAGTTTTGTGTTAATTTCTAACAAAAAATTCATAAAATTTTATCGTATATTTCGAAAGTAAAAAACACAGGGTTTTTATATAAATCAGAGATATTTTAAGGTTATAATTGTTTATACTGATGTTTGCATGATTAAAAGTAAAATTAGTAAGACTGAAATAAATTTTAAAATATCAAAAAAACTGGTCAATTTTAGTACCATTGTGGTTATATAAAAATGTAAACTATGAGAAGTAATAAGTAAACTAATTATTCTGAAATACATATTTATGTGTCGAATTATTAATAAAATTGCTTGTTTGTTTATAATTAATTTAGTATTTAATAATATTTGCTTTTTTTATGTCATTCTTTCTTCTGTTTTTATAAAATTTTTGAATTATTTGGCTTTTAGCTTTTAATTAAGTAAGAGCAATAGAAATTGATGTTTTTTGTTTTGTTATTTTTTTTTCGATTTTTGTGATTTTATTAGTGATCATATAAATAAATTACGAGCTAATTAATGAATTAAGATAATTAGGAGAGCTAATTTGATTCTGAAGCATAAAGCTCAGAAGAAAATAGTTAGGTATCAGAGCAACAGAACTAAAATTAGCTGTCTAAGAAATCTTAAGAACTTTAAAACGATTAAGTAAATACCTAGCAGCAGGAGAGAATAGATAATCTTAATCATATATAAATAGAAACTTAGTTTGATTAGCCAGCGAAATAGAAAATACAAAGCATAGATTAAATAAAAAACACACGGAAACCTATTTCATCATAGCAAAGAGCTATTTTTAGAGGTTATGATGGCTAAAAAATTCCACCTGATTTTGATAAAGCGGCAGAACATCGAGTAACAATTTTAAATAATTTGTATTTTATCTTGTTTCTTCAAAAATGCTGACTCGAATTAATACTTAATAACATCTAAACTAGCTAGAGTTTTATGATGACTTATTGAAATTAAAAAGCAATAAATACGCAAGGAAAAATATTTTATTTGAGTGAATTGAAAAAATGAATTTTGTTTGATATTAATTTGGGAGGAGAAATAGGAAATATTTTTATTTAAATAAGTGCTTGTTTTACATTTAGATAGAAATTCGAGTTTTATGCATATAAAAAAATTTAAAGATACTAATTAATTTTCCTTAATTATTAAATAGCTTGCTAATTAGGTGGGACCTGAAAAGGATATAAATTAAATATAGGAGGATGAAACGATAGAGTATTGTGAGTGTTGTGCTAGATAAATTTAAAGACACCAGTTAAAGTTAAGGTGTAATATATATGAATTGAGTTTTTTAGGATCAGGATATCCATTATATTTTTTCTTCATCAAACAATGTATTGTGATGTTAAGCTTAGTTCTTTTTATTTGTGGAGTCTTCAATGTTATTACTAATATTATTGGAAGCGGTAAATGCTAGTCGGCTAGCTCTGAATCTGATCAACAAAATTCTACCAATTAAGATCAAGTAGTTTGTAAATAAGGAAATGTTTTCAGTCTTTTTTACTTGGGTAGGAAATCCGATTAAGAAACATTTATGGAAATTTAAGGCTACTTAAACCTCTCTTCTATGATTGCTATGATAATATTATTGTAATGGTTTAGAAAGTTATAAAGATAGTTAGATGCTAAGTGTGACGATGAAGATATTTCAGCAAATGATTACACAATTATGATAAAGAATGTACCAAAAGATTTTGAAGCTATAAATGATGATTATGATGATGACATAAAAGAATTTTTTAGAGTTAATTCCTTAGAAGGGAAAGAAGTCGAGGTTGAATCTGTAACTCTGTGTTATGATTTAAGCGAAATAACAAAGTTAGAATTAGAAAAATAATAATTGATATAAAAGAAGAAGAAATACATTTTTAAAATTAACAATCTTAAAAAAAAGATTGATGAGATTTTCCATATAAATAGTTGTACTCATAGTATCTAAAATGATTTAGAAAACAATCAACAAGGAATTAAAATAATTGGTGACTCCTAACAGCCTATTCAAGCCACAGAAGGTGATACTAAATTCGAATTAAACATACTATAACCTAATAATACTGTTTGCAATATATTTAATAAAGAAAGTAAGTAATTTTTGTTCTAAATAGCTTATTACCAATAAAAAATATCTTCAAAAAATTTAAATAGTTTCATCAAAAGAGGAAAATAGAAAATCTATTACAATTAATAATGAACAAATGTAAACAAATACTTAAATTTATTTATTTATTTTATGTTTTTAAATAAAATATATTATGAATTTAACAGTTAAGATAAGCTTCAATCCAAAGAAAATGACTAAAATTTAAATAAAAGCGAGACAAAGTATCCAAATAAAGAATCTATAAATTAGCTAAATTTAAAAAAGTAACTTTTAAAATTTATAACTTTATTATTCTTAATTTTAAAATAATTTTTTACTAAAGCTAATAAGTAGGAAGGCAAATAACTATATTCAGACAAAATTAAAAAGATTAAAATGTATTGGATAAACTAAATTTTTAGCTTACAGAAGAAAGTGTTAATCTGGCAAAAATATAGCTTAATATCTAAAAAGTAGATAAGCAATTAAAGACATTAAATGAAAAACTTATGGATGGAAAAGGCAGAGAATTCATGAAAAACTATTTCACTGGAAATGCTTTCGTTTGTGTTAAATATGAATAAGGTAAAATTTCATTTAAAAATTTATTTAATTTTTTTGTAAATTTAAATGAAATAAATAAAATTCATATGTTAATTTTTCAACTAGATATTTTTCTTTTAATTAAAATTAATCATATTTACTATAGCAAACTCTAAAAATGCTAGTTTCTATTAAAATTTATGTGAGTAATAATGCTCATTTTTATAATTTTAAATACAATAATGGCATTGATTTTTTTAATTGAACATATAATAATTGCTTAATTTATTTTTTTTAAACATTCATTTTTTCTGAATTATTACAGATAAAGAAGATATAATTGAGAGATACAGACCTATTGGTATATCTGATAAAATTCTTTCTAAAGAAAAAAATTTAGTATAACACCAAATGATTTACAAAGATAATAAACTTTCAGTGATATAAGCACCTGATCCTACAGATATTAATTGGAATAATTTACATTATTCATAAAATGAAAAGATAAAAAGAAGGTTAATAGGATTTATTTCTACAGTAGCCTCTCTGCTTGTTTGTGCTTTAGGAATTTATGGGTTTCATTTATTTTAATAATATGAAATAAATAAATAAAACGCAAGTAGTTTAAAATTATAAATAATATCATCAAGTCTGGCTATACTAATAACTATATTTAATTTCATTCTTTTATTTATTCTCTAAATTATAAGCAAGTAAAATCATTTTATTTTTCTTTATTATTTACTCAAGCTTTTGCTTAATAATTATTTAAGGTATTGCAAATATTCAACTAGAACTAAAGATAATATATTTATTGCCAAAGGTCTTTCAGTAGCAAGATTTGTTAATTCAGCTCTAATCAGTTTTATAATATAAATTTATGTATAATCAAATAAAGATAAATAAACTGTATTATTTGGATAAGGTAATTAATTTATTTTTAATTTTTATCTTTAAATACTGTGGATCCATCCTCATTCATTTTTACCTAATTTTATTATAAAAAATATTTTTTTTAATATTATTTTTTTGAATTAAGAATACTTTTTTTAATTTGGGGGGTGGTATAATAAGGAGGATTAAGAGTACTTCCGTTTATTAGTTTATCAAAAAAAAAAATAGTCAAGCTAGATTAAAGTGTTTATTAATCATTTTTTTAATAAAATAAAAAGGTGGTCTTTCAGATAATGCTAACTATTTTATGATATCTAACTGCTTTGTGCCATTTTTATCTGAATTAATTAACCCTGAATACTATCTTTTAATTTTATTGAGAAAAATTGAAGCCAAAAAAGGAGTAGAATCCATAAAAACTCAGTCAGAATTAAATCAGTAAAATAGTTATTTATTTATGAATATATTTATCTAAATAATTTTGATTATATTAAGGTTATATGAAAACCCAGAGTTCCAAATACAAGAAAGATATGCTTAGATATTAATGACTATGTTCACTACGGCATTCTATAGTCCAATTGTTCCTATGACAATATTTTGGTCTCTAATAGGTCTCATTTTGTAATATTGGGTTGATAAAGTAAGTAACTATTTATTTATAATTTAAAAACACAAAAAATATTAAAAATAAATATATAAATAAATAAATCAGTATAACTTGATCCACAGAAGTTGTGTAAAAAATAATATGAGTGCAGAATTAAGTATTGAGATGACTGAACACTTAGAATATTTTTTACCTATTCAAAGTGTAAATATATTTATTTATTAATTAATTTATTATAATGTTATGAATTATTTTCTAAATTTTAGATATCAACTTTAATCTTTTATCAATACGCAAATGGAGGAGATTGGGGATTGTCTTCAATAATTGGTACAGCGATAGGTCTATTGCACGCTTTTTTACCTATGTAGCTTATTAATGAGAGATTTTTTGAAATAAATAAAGCATCAGCCAATACCATTGATTATGAAGAGGCTTAGAAATATTTTATTACTGATTATAGCAGAGAAAATCCTATTTATAAGTAGCAGGCTAGATAAACTCATGTTAAAAAAATGACGATTAGAATAAGCAATTAGAAAGATTTTTTGAGGAGAAATGGGCTTAGGTTTACTGGAAACGAAAGCATAGATTCTAAAAACTCAAATACTCCTTAAAAAATAAATCTTGCAACTCCTTCACTTTTTTAGGTTAATGGCCATGAAAAAAAGTTAAATTAGATTATAAAACCATTCGACCAATAATAAGAAAAAAATATATTTTAATGTAAAAATTAATTAATTAATTATTTTAATAAATAATATTAATATACAAAAATAATTAGAAAAAACTTAAGAAACATTTCAAACAACAGATGACGATGTAAACACTTAATTGGTAAATTAATAAACTGCTACTTCTAGCCAAAAAAGAGCTTATTTTATTGATGGAAAATATATTACAAACGAAACAAATTTGGTATTAATTTAAGAGGAGATGACGCAATCGATTCATTCTAACTTGAATATGGTAAACCAAGAGTCTTAAAAATAATTTTAAAATAACTCTCCAGATATAAATAATATTTCACCTTAATTACTATATGGTTAACCAAAATTTATAGATTCAATAGTTAAATAAAAAGAATAATTTAATCCTAGAAAAAAGATTTAAATATACAGAATTAATAAAAAGGAAGATGATATAGAATCTACGGATTAGTAACCAACTCAACTCATTAGCTTAAATCGTAAATTAGAGTCTAGTAGTCCAAAAAATTTTAATAATAGTCCTGAAAATTAAATAGTAACAGAAAGAGAACTTTTAAACTATAAAGAAGTTAACAAAAGAAATAAGAGTTTTGATTCAACTATTCAGAACGGAGATTAATTCAAGCCTTCTATATTTAGTTAATTTACAAGCACTAGTTTAAAGAGTAAATAAAAGTACAGCAAGCTAAGAATACACTTAAAGGAGCTAGATATGCTCCCTAATTAAGAAGATAATAAAACTACCAATCAAAAGGTTGAGTAGGTTTAAATAAATATTCAATGACAGAATGAAATCTAAATAATTTAAAAAATAATACTAATTAATCAGAAATACTTTTGCTTTAATAAACTATTAAAATAACATTAATGAAATTAAAAACTTAAATTATAGATAGATAGATAGATAGATAGATAGATAGATAGATAGATAGATAGATAGATAGATAGATAGATAGATAGATAAATAAATAAATAAATAAATAAATAAATAAATAAA